GACGTTTAGTATAGGATACCTACTGTACTTGAAAGGCTTGAAAAGGTATCCCCTAATGAACAGAAAGGAATTTCTATGTTTAAAAAAACAACCCGACAATTACATATATCACCCACTTTACAACTTTTTTTGTGTTTTAGCACAGATGCATTTTGTTTTCCACGGAAAAATGGTTGCGAGTTGAAGCGATTTGGCACGAAACCATCCTGCTTATTTATTTATCAATTGCAATCAGTCGATTTGCCATTAGGGCACGAATCGCAATCCAAGGAAGATCTTTTTCATTCAGTTTCATAGCTAAAGCAGGTATAGAACAACGTAGATGCCGCATAGATGACGCAGAAGAAAATGTCCATTGATCTGAACTGCTTCCTCCTGGACCTCCACTACCATGAAGTTTTCTTGCAACTTTTTCGACATGGTCACATGACGTAATTTCGAGGCATTCTAAATTTGGAATTTTATCAATATCAGACGGTAATTTCAATCAGATTTTATAACAGTAGAAGGATGCTTGTATTATAGCGCATCAAAACGGTGTAACCAGAATCATCAAGTTCATCAATAAATTTAAGAAGAACTCTTCGAGTATCGCTTACTAATTATACTAAAAATTCTTTTAATCAAATTGTGTATATGGATAATCAGCTGTCACAGTCATTGCTAACCCATATTTCAGTTAGAAGTATAAAGGCAAAGTATTATTTTATTGCTAAGAAGTTAGTATACAAAATGTGATATTGTTTTTGCGTTGTTGTAAGATTTGGGTCCCAAATTTGGCATAAAACTATAAATATTTTTCAGACGTTAGGCTTATTATGATAATAAGCGTTTCTGCCACATAAGCGGTGGGTCCAACGTGTTTTGTTTGGGAGCCACCCTCAAAAAAGTGGCGAAGTTTGCATTGCTTCTTCAATTTTTTCTCAGCAGCCATAAGAGTTACAAATATTGGTGGCACGTCTTTGAATGGGTTTTAGCGTATGCCCTTTCTGATTTTGCAAATTTTTTTTCAATACTTTTACCACGAAAAGGGGCACCTCTAAATGGGGGTGCGAAAATAAATTATGATTTCGACAAAATTTGGTATCTAGTTATTTAAAATCACTTTTCAAGCAAAAGTTGTACTTACTAATTGAAAATTGGTCCTTCGGGAGAGAAAGTATCCCTCGCCTACTAGTGAATCATCTAATTTTGCATGTAGTTAGTTGAACATGTCGCAAATAACAAAAAATTAACGATTTAAGTCGATATTGAGATACTTGGAATAATGCTTATTGATTGTTATAGAACTCTCAGCTCTACTTAATAACATTTTCCCACCACCCGCAGCGACCCATCGTTCATTTTTGTTATTTGCGATATTTTTAACTATATGCGAATTTAGATAACTCACTGGTAGGCGGGAGTACTTTCTGACCCGAACTGATTTTGAAAAACTGCTGGACAATTTTGTTCCTTAACTCCTCAAGTGTGTACCCATCAAATTTCGGGGAATTCTGTTGTCTAATTAATTTCTAACTTTATTCGTGATTTTCATGTTCAAAAACCCCCAGATACCACATTTCGTCGAAATTAGACTTCTTTCCCACCCCCATTTAGGGGTGCGTCCTTATCGTGATAAGAAAATTGCTCAATCGGAAAGGACATACGCCAAAACCTATTCAAAGACGTGCCCCTGGTCTTTGTAACTCCTATGGCTGTTGAAGAAGAAAAGCAAATTTCACCTCATTTTTGAGGGTGGCTCCCAAATGTCGAACCCTTGGTTTATTTGGAAAAAAGTGCTTATTTTGATCACCTCTACCACCCAATTTTTTTACATCCTTGTGTGTAACACCCTACATAATTTTTAGAACTGTACCCGAAGTATTGATATCATTTTTCCAATCCAAAGTCAGCCCTGAATCAAAAATTAGTCTCCCCCCACCCCATCTTCTCCTATTTTCTGAATATTCATTGACTGATTATAAGAGTTGTTTTTTACAGAAAGAACATTTATTTATTTATTTTTGCCATTCTTTTTGAGTGGGCGGGGTTTCAGCCAAGGCTGCTCTACCAACTCAACCCATATGCATTTACCCTTAGCATCGCGGTCTTCAACTTTAATTGAACTGCGCCACACGGGCCGGCATAATCGCGTAATTATACAGGCTGATTCAAATTCGAGGGTCACCATGTGAATCTCGGGAACTGTAAGAGATAGGTAGGTAGTTTAAATTTGGTGGCCCTCGTATGGCCTATGGTGACCGTATTCGGGTAGACGATTCTTCAAACTAGAACCTATAATTTACGTATAAGGACAATTGGGAAAGGTGTTCTATGAGAATCTATAGGAATGTTTTACAAAAGAAGTTTTTTTAAAACAACTGCAGCGTCTGCAGCAACCCTGTTTGACGGAAACATCCATAAGGATTGCTATCCCCATTGCCGATCTTTTCAAAAGGGACATGAAAGATAAATAAGGTGTGGGAAGAACACAAAATCAATAAAAATCAGAAGGTACCGATGGTCCGTAACACGAGAAATCTAGTTCAAAAAATGGTGATAGTGGAATTTTCTTGTAAATACACTGTGTCCAAGATAAGGATGTCTATCATGCGGATTTCGAAAACCATAGAAAACACGAAGATGCAACTCAATCAATCTTTCAATCAATCAATCAAATCAATTTTATTCTCCATTGTAAAAAAGTTTATAAAAAATGTATACTTAACTTACTCTAGGAGAAAATGGTGGGAAAAATTACTCCACCACTAGGGAAAAGTTGCGTAATTAGCGAGTTATTATCGTATTGCAAAGAAAACCGGACAATTCCGATTACCCACTTTCAAAGAGATGCCAGAAAACCGAAATTTGCCGATTTTGTTTTTATTTTGTTCTGATTTCAGCAGGTACAAAAAAAATAAAAACCACTTTCTCTTTACTTTCTAATGGTGCGGGGAAATTTTCGGGAAAATGGAAAATATGTCCGGTAGGCACCTTCGCACCATTAGGATGTTGTGCGCGGGTGCACCATCCTTTTGAAATGGACAGTTTCCAACTTTTTTTTGTGTGCAGTACATCGTTGTATTCGTAATAAAAAATGTTACTCAATATGTACTTTTTTACGGATCATATAAAAAAATAAAGATGATTTCTTTTCAATGAAACGTTGTATCGAAAATTTTTCAACGCTGTTTCATAGAGGTAGCAATGAGGAAGGGTTTTTTAAATATATTTTTTGTATCTGTTCAAATAAGACCAAAACGATATAAAAACAAAATCGGCAATTTTCAGTTTTACTGACATACCTTCTGAAGTAGTCGAAATGTTCTGGTTTTCTTTAAAGCATGATAATAAATGTTTAATTGCGCAACTTTTCCCTAATTTGACCATCATCGTATCTTCTCTGGTTTCCGAGGTCCTCATGATAGACATCCTTATCTTGGACAGTGTATATAAAAAAAATGTGTATATTTTATTTTTGATTTTTTTGTTTCTATGTCCTGAGGTTGCCTTACGAGAGTGGGTTCAACATTGACACGGTCTTAAGTCGCTCGTATAATAATGCTAAAAAGTTTTTCTTCGTCCCGAAATTTACTGTAATTCGTCTGCTCTATTCGAACACACATTAAAATTGCAGGTGAATCGCAATTTTTTTAATTTTTCTCCACGACTTATGCGACCTACTTAATATGCGGCTATTTATTTATTTATTTATTATCCCTCTCTTGTTCTGGGCCCTCAACAGGCTTGCGCCCAATTACAGAGTGACCCGCATAATGCTTTTTAGAGGTGCCCCTGCAGAAGCTCGTAAGTTGTTCTATACTACTCCGGTATTTACCTTACGAATTAGGAAAACTGCAGGAAAACCTAATTGAGTATGTTTACCCGAAGTTAATTCGTTACTACTTTTATAACTACGTTAATAATTCAATTTCAACGCACTTAAAATAGTACGCGAAAAAGTCCAGTTAGAAGAAATCTAGGAAGAAATTTTCAATGATAGAAAAATGCACCCACAGTGTAGGTGATCGCTCGCGAATTAGTCTTCGAATCCTCGCGTTGTCCCACTTATTTCGCTATTTGAATCTCGCCCACGAGAAAAACCGAAAAGGAACTTATTTCTGAACTCAAATGGCCTCGACAGGCGCGCCCTAATGACTAATAGAAAACCCTAGGCTTTAAACAGAACGGAACGGAACTTTTAGATCCCAAGAGATCGTGGCAACCGCGCTTGCTTTCCGAAATACGATGATAGTTATCGCCAGACATACTTTCGTTCAAGATCGCTATAAAGCGGAAACTTCCCTATGTTGACCAAAAGCGTCCCCCTGTTACCGCGTGCGCCATTTTGGAACAGAAATATTGATATAAAGTGGTTAGGCATATTTTCCTTTGTGTATGGTTCCTGGGAAAAACTAAAGAAGTGGCCTAATTTTTTTTGTTACTCTTCTCGAACGTTAGTATTGTGGGTCCGATAGTACTAAACGTATTCAAGCACTATACCCACTAATTTATTCACTCGTAAGCCCTATGATCACAGCGTTTCTCAATATGTTTTGCTTTACCCGTCGTGCCATTTATTTAGGAGTTGTGGTCATAAGTGGAGCTTATACAAGCGTCTATGCTTTTTCGCTTGTAACAAGGAGGATGTCCAAATGCGAAAAAGTAACAACGGTATTACTTTGAATCCTACAGCAGAGTGAAATGATTCTATGGATGTATAGGCAATGTAAATGCCTTGCTCTCATAATAAAATTTTTAATTTGCAATAAATAAGTTAAATAAATAATAATTTCATCACGTCTAAGTTCGCTGTATAGTGTATATCCAGATACCACCTGGATTGAGTTCTATTATATCAGGTTAAGTTGCTATAACAGCAAGGTCCCAGTAACCCTAAGCAAACAGAGCGTCATTCAAGCAACTGGTGATTAGTTAAGACAAGGGTATGGTGACTAACCAATTAAAGTAAGCATTTACCACGGGGACAGGACAGTGTAGCTGGGAGTCGTAGATATACGTATTGCGCAATATTACAAGTTTGGTTGAAACGGAAATGCTGAATAGTACTTACGTATTTCATTAAAGTAAAATGGAAACTCCCCCGTAACGGAACAGTTAAGCCTAGATTTAAGGAAGGAAGTCCAACGATTCCGGAACCGATGTGGCCCTCCACGGTCATACTTACAAACCCTGGCCACCCGGGAATACACCGCCTAGAAAAGAAGATCAAAATGTAACATTTCATGTGCGTATAAAAGTTAAAATTTCTTACAATATTGAAAGCAACTGATTTATTGTTATAAAAAAATCGACGGTGAATTGATTCATATCAACTCTGGGATATCAATCAAAGTCGCTCGTACAAAGGCAAAGGCAAAATGAAAAATACCCCAAAGGGAAACAGCAACGCAAATAATAAATATCTTTTTAAAGTTCAAATCGATCGGACATCCTTATAATGGATTATAAGTCGAAGAGATAGCGAGCGACGTTTTTTTTATAAAAGAAACGCTAAAACTGTTGACAAAAAGAATATAGAAGTAGCATTTAAGACCGTCGCAAATTGTTCGAAAATGTTGGGATGAAATATTCTTTTCATCATAAAAACAAGTAAATATTAATATTTACCTTCCCGCAGTTAATATATTCGACGGCGGTTTCTCTAAAGAAGAAGTAGACGAAATCTCCGTGCGTCATGGAACTGACAAAATCTGGAGCTGTAAGAAATTCGTTTTAGGGGTAAATCTATAGAAAGCGCCAAGGCGCCGATTATTCGAGGCAATTCAAAGGCAACTTTACCATTGAGACTCATCGAATCGTATTGTTCAGTCTGTAGCGGTTCTCTGTAGATAATAGGATCCATTCCGCTGAAATCGGCCACCGTGCCAGTATACAAATCTCCATCTGAAACAAAAGGAACAATATAATTATAACGCATTTTGATGAGCTAAGGAACGGAACGGCAGCCTCTATTGTTCTTTAACAATGTTATGGGGAAAAATATGCAAAGCGTGTGTGCATGTAGTAGTACATTGCTAACTGTAAACAAAACCTTTAGTTACCGTGTTCATTAGCAATCCTGCACAAACATAACTTTGTTAGTGTAAGATCCAATATAAACACCCTTGGAAACGCATTAACGAACGTAAATCGAACAAAGCAAAGAGCTCTCGTATTTCAAGATCTCACACATCCTTTGTACCATTTCGCTGCCGCTCAATGTTAGCTTTAGAGTAACAGTCAGTCACGCAACCCATTCCTCGATTTCCAACAAATTCACCAAAAATTTTACCCGTTTCGAATAAACAAGAGAAATAATTACGGTTCACATCATATATTCTCCATATCCAAATTCGAAGTCAAAACGGCGTAACACTTAAGATTAAGAGCAAAAAGGAATTTGATCGAGTTATGAGATAAAAATGACCCTTATCGCCCTACACCTATTGTAAACTATTCCAAATTTGGTAAAAAAAAAACAGACAAGCGGTTTAGCTAATGGAGAGCACACACTCTTAGCGAGAAATGTTGGACCCTAGATAAACCCGTTAGTAACATCCTTCTATGTGTTAAGAAAAAAACGAGCAATGTAAGAGCTTTGGGTGCGTAAATCTCAAATTAGGGCTATTGGAGGCGTAGCTCCCAAACGGAACATTTTCGCCACTTAGTTTATTTGGAAAAAATGTTTGTTTGGTTTCTTCTACTCCCAATTTTTTACATGCTTATTTGTTACTTCCTTTATAGGAAAAGTAAATAAGTGTAGAAATTGACCGTCTTACACAAGTCTTATTTACTAAATGATGATCCATGACTTTATATCCTATTTATGTAATGTATAAGCACGCAAAGAGAAATGTTACGGCTTCGGTTACAGCCAAAACTGTCCATTTCTTGGCGTTGAACCCTGTAACTTTTTAGCGCTTTTTCCAAAACGAAACTGGACTGCTGTATTGACAATTTTTCTTGGCAAATGCTTCCCTGCAAAATTTCCGCCGATAAACCGTCGCCAATCGCCAATGGATGGGAACGTTGGAAATATAATTTTGACTTGGAAAATATTTACCAGAAAAATGACAATATTTTGAAACCACTAGAGATATTTCATGATCTTCTGTTCAAAATTGGTTGTTTTCTAAAAAACGTGACATATCAGCACACGTCAGAATCACAACCTGTCGTTTGCAGGTAAGTGTTAATTAAATGCGCTTTCGTTTTATACAGTGGGGCGTGGGTTTATTAACACACAAATTCATTGTCACGTTGAAGGACTCTTAAGGGTACAACCTAAAATATTGTTGCATTTTTACAAATAGAATATTGCATATTTCCCTTTTTTTCAAATTCTCAGTCTGCGTTCGTTATGGTCACTTGGTTTAAGATCTAGAAATGTTTAGGAAATTTTGGAACTATATCAAAAATGTGCAAAAAATGTTGAAGAACTTAAAAGATACTTGAACGAACATATAAATTTAAGAAAATGTAAAAGTGTTGCATGAAAAAATTTAGAAAACGCTTCAGAAATGTTAATGGAAAACAGTAGGAAGGACATTTTTTACACGTTTCAAAATTTTCAAAACGTGTAGGCATTTTTTAAAAATGTAACCAGAACCACCTAGACATTTTACGTTTAACATAAACAAATGTTGGCAATGGATAAGAAATTTGGAAATGTCTCGAAAATATGTAGGAAATGTTACGAATGTGTCAATAATTTTGAGATAAATGATTCGGAAATGTATAAAAATATTTGAAATGAAGCATGTTAAAAATGAGTAGAAAATTTGGAAAAGTTTGGGAAAATGCAGACATGCTTTTATTAAATTTTGGAAAATTTGTGTAGGACATTTTGTAAGATATTAAAGAAAGGTGTAAAAGTTGGTGCACACCAAAAGGGCACGAGGACAATTTAGATAGGTACGAAGTTTAGTTTGAATCTTCCTGTATGTTATTATTGGGGAAAGAATTATAGCGAGCACAATTCAAACGTACATTCTAGTTTCGATCGGATTATAAGCGTTGAGTTATCATACTATATTGAAAATTCCGAGTCTTCGTTAATTGTAACCCAAAAAACGTAGGAATTATGTACAAATCAGCACCAATTAATGTGTTGGGACTTTTCGAATCAGGGGAACAACGTAAACTCGTGCTTTGAAATAGCATGAAGCACAGCACGAACGCTAATAATTTCGTCCAATTTTCTACTTGTTTTACTCTTTGTGCACTTTAAACGTATAAAAGTGTCTGAAAAATTTGCAAAATTAGCGAAAAGTCGTGTATATTCCCTAAATAATGTATAAATATTGTATTAACGAGATGCATGACGGAAGGGCGTTTTTACGGTATTCAGAGCTGCATCTAAGCATTACTAAAAGCTCGCCTAGATGAAAGAGACGTCTGCAATGGGGAAACAACCAAACATGCATAAAACGTCTTCATTATTTTTGCTCGTTACTTGCAGCAGCATGGTGTGGCGTTCGCAGAGAAACGTTACTGCCACAAACCGCTTTGAAGTTTTCTTCGTTGCAAGTGACAGAAATCCTATTGTTATGTATGCAACATTATAAATAAAGCAGTTTGCGTATATTTCGCAATTCGAGCTAAAAACATAGATTCGGCAGCCATGGAAGGTAAATAAATTATCCACTAGTTGTCTATCCATGTGTAAAGAGGTTAGACTTCTAGGCGATGTAGTAAATTTCTGAAATCTATACAAACTGTACGAAATATCAGCGCAGCACCAACAGTAAATCAAGTTAATTTAGTTAATTCAGTTTAAAATCCACGTTTCTAATTGATTTATTTCAATATTCTCCCCCGTTCATACTAAGCACGGTATAATTAATTAATGTCATTTAGAAATAATACATTTTAATTTGTTGTGCGCGAAACCATTCGATAAATTCTCAAACAGAAACTCACCGACATATATCGCTGTAGAATTATGATGAGGGTCGTACGGACATACGGCTTGGCCAGGTTTCTCCTTTGCAACCGTGTAATTTCCATTATGAATTACATAATCTCTACAAAGTGGCTTGAACGAATTCGTGCCGCATACTAGCAGTCCTCCCGCCGCAGTTTTTGCCATAATACGCATGTAGTTCTGGCAGTTTTCCTGAAAAAGAAAACATGACTTTTAGTACTCCGTCCAAATGGATTATCTTCCATAACACTTTATGCTTAATGCGCCATGTGCGTTAACTATCACTTAAAGTTAACGGACAATGAATTTTAATTACCAGTGGATTGTTTACTAGCGGCTCAAGACGAATGGGGTCAACGAGTGATTAAAATTCAGTTCGCTATTATGAATGGAGTAACCATTATTTCCATTGTTGAGGAAAGCGCAATTGAGGTGAACATGAAAACAATTTTAATATTAAACTGCAATAAAGTCTACATGCCTAAATGGAGACTTACAGTTTGTTTTACAAGGAGTCTCATACTAAATGTAATATAATAAACAGTACCAGAGTTAAGAATTTAATCAATGCACGAGCAATTTAAATCTTTTAGGGGAATTTTTCGAAAGAAAAAATCCTCTTATGTGATGGTTTTGTCCGTCTGTCGGTCTGTTCCTCGTCTAATTCGAGAACGAAAAGAGATAGCGATGTCAAACCTTTGTCGATCAATTTCGAGCTCAAGGATCAGTGCTATTGAATATCAGCCTGATTAAAAGTCTGGTTTTCGAATACGGGCTGCGTGGCAAAAAATTCCCTTACTGAAAATCGTATGCTGAATGGGATGTGAAGAAACTATACGAGAGCAATCGTACACGACGTGACTGTTTACTCTCAATTTGGGAAGAAATTGAACAAGAGTTTGATACGCAGCCTGCAATTCAACAAACCTCTTATGGACAAAATTGATGGATGGACACTATTGATGACAATACTAAAATAAATCGATTTTTTTAAACAAGAATTTGAAACACCACCTGCAATCCAATCAAGCCCGTATAGACAAAATAGTTCATAGGGGACCAAAATTATGCTCCTAAACTAACTTGAGCTATAGAAAGATTGCTTTTATCTCAAATTAAAGGAAAAGTACCTACTCATATTGGACAAAGAGCTGCTGATTTCTTAGGTTAGGGGTTTGTCTCAGAATTTCCAAAATCTAAATTTTTGTTTTTATATACCTTTTTATCTCACTAAATCGCTTAAAAAATTTGGTGTTGATAGCACATATACCACCCGCACACCTGCGCATGCGCGATACCGCTCTTTTATACCTGTGAATATATGCACCAAATGTGAATCCAATCGGTTCAGCCGTTTAGCCGGAAATGTGAGTTTGACACACTTGCGCATGCGCAATTCTGCCCAAAAGCTGTCTAAGAATGTGTGTACCAAATTTGGTTCTAATCGGTTCAGCCGTTTAGCGGGAAATGAGAATACAGAAGGACCGACAGACCGACATCATAGATATTTTGTTTGATTCGGATTCCTGGTTGTTCAAAACGTGTATTTCCGTCAAAAAAGTGAGGTGCCACTTTGATCAATCTCCGCAAGACTTCAATCAGCCTCATTCTTTAGAATGATTTCCTAATTTTTACCTAGAGCAGTATCCCCACAGACCAATTCCCGTACCTTTGGATTCCGGTAGTAAACCTACGTACGAGTAGGTATATACTGCACCCACATTTTATAAAAAAATTGTGAGTTTTGGAATATGTTTGTCAATTTTACAATTTGGGTTTCAATTATAAGACTCTTTCGTTGAGATTTTTGGGAAAAACGAAAAAAAACTATTTGATTTCATAGAGAGGAACTAAATGTTATGCCTTTCTTGTTTGCTTAAGGTCGGGATTAAGTTGGTACAGTAAAATTTTTATTTATCTACAAATTCGCTGAAAAAAAAACAATTTGATGACATGAAATATATTTCGTGCTCTTTCGTAAAGGTTCAGGTTACGTTGGCAGAACAAAATTTTTAATTACTCACAAATTTTGTCGGAAAAAAGACAACACTTGCATACAAAACTGTTTTTACATGTTTTATTAAGCTTTTCGTAAACCCGCAAATTTAAAAATAAGTTTCAACATTTTTGTTATTAGTAGCAATAGCCCATGACTTTTGTTGTTTTATGAATTGCCAATTGCCATTAATAAATGAAATGTTGAAATTTATTTTTAAATTTGCGGGTTTACGAAAAGCTTAATAAAACATGTAAAAACAGTGTTGTATGCATCTTTTAATTCTAAACAACTTTAAACTCAACAGTTTTTTCTGTAAAATGTACAGGAGGGCAGGATTTTGCATAAAACTAATTTCCCACGTTAAATCCCTATGTCCCACTTACCGTGCACCACCCTGTATAACAAGCAGACAGGTATTGCACTCACACTCATAGGTATAGAGGATATATTGCCAAAGTTCCATCGATAATAAATTTGTTCAAAAGGGTAGAAGAGTTGAAAAATATTTAATTTTTTAGTACTTACATTAAACGATCTTTATCTAGTAGCGCCGGACCACATAAAGCGATCTCGTGTTTTCAATCCTGTGTGAATTTACCCAAAAAAAGTAGACAAACACAGGCTATCGGTGCTAAATAATTCATAAGCGCATATTAATGAATTAACAGTGAAGTTATGTATTCAAATGTCCCTTAGCTGTCAGTCAGAATTATAAAAATCACTTAATATACGCCCCCTGGAAGTGCGCACATCAAAAATTACTTATGTATGTATACCTACTATAGGTTTAAAAAGATGCCCACACTTCGAATACAAGGCCTTGCGGTTCTCTGAACTTTGTGATATGAACGAACATGGCAAGAATTATTTCCGAAGGGTTGGCACATTTAACCCTCGTTTTTGTTGAAGTTGAACGAATTGTTAATACGAAAACATCGCAATCTTGCGAAGAAGCAATTAGAATCATCTGCCAAGAGCAGAAGAAAAAAACGCAAATACGAACAAAATCCATTTAGATTGGTTTGTGTAACGATCCACTGTACAATTCAATCCTAGTAAATACCTTAGAGCGGTAATAACTGACAATTCGGTCGATGCATGCACTAATTTATAGAGAATCGCCCTAATAGCTACACGGAGCTGATTATTTATCTCCGACAGGCCCAGAAAGCAATTAGTGCAGCGAAAGATAGGAAGAGATAAGACGAACTCTAAATGCAAAAACACAGCAATAAAGGAGACGCTAAATCAGCCTTACACAATGTAAGGATGGGCAAAAAGTTAATGGAGACGAGAGATTGCGGAGAGAGATCTTATAGACAATGCAGATTTTGTAAGTGGCAAAGACTGTAGCGTAAATTACTAACCGCATTACTGAATGCAAATTAGAAGTTTTTATAAAAAGACGAACACTTTGATCAATAACGAGTACTTTCTCATACGCAATCAATTCCTATAACAACAACCAAACAAAGGGATAAAATGCAATTTGGTAAAAAAAGTGCATCGAAAATACACAAACGGTCTCATTAAAATAAAGTGGTTAAAAGCAAAAGAAAGTAGTGCTTTAGGAGTTCTTTTTTAATTATTTTTGAGAAGCGAACGGTGATTTACACAACTCAGCTGCTCGCCCATCAATTAGTTTGCGGCTTTGTGGCTTCGTGTGGATTTAATCTCAATGTGAAACCATGCAGCTTAATTATGGTCAAGACGAGACCTTACATCAATTTATGAAGAGCCTGTCCAACTTTGGGAATCAACGAAACGTCGCCGTTTTAGTATTCGTATCGCTTAGCATACGCAGATATGAGTTCTCTTGCAGTTTGTGTCACGTGACCTAATTTTCGGTGGAAAGGTATACCGCACGAGCTACATATGTATTCACTATTTGTTTAGCTCGATCAAATTATTATTTGTACAGCTAGAGATGTTGTACACAACAGTAAGACTGTTTGCTTTCATCCCATAAGAGGGAAATATTGCTTTATTCCCTGTTTTTAATAAAGAAAATGTTCGCTTCGAGAATACTTTTAGAAATATTTGTTTACCATAGAAATTTATTACGATGAGAGGTGGCCTTCTTGTGAATGGTGTTCGAGCTTTCAGTGCTTTGGAAGTGATATATCAATCCTATTATTTTCCTGTTGGATTAGCAAAATCCGGTAACTATTCAAAGGTGTGAAAGTGAACGCTATTTCTCATCCCAAAGAGAGCACCAGGTGTGACAAGAGTAGTGTCATGCATCTAATAATTATCATGGACGCCTATAAGGAGTATAAGGGGTGGCAACTCCTAGTACGTTCATTTTGAAGAAAAAGACAATAAAAGATTTCAGAAACAATACATGATAATGTCGACATACCTCAAGGGCGCTTTCATCTGGGGTACCTCCCCTCAGCTTATTATCTGTTCAAAATTCCAGATCTTTGTATAACAGACAGTATTATTCCAGAAAGGGATTTTCGTACTTAATTTTGGTGAAAATTCCAACTTTGATTTATATGCTCAGCAATTAGTACCCGATCCATTCGAATGGGGTTGGGCACGACCGACGCCAAAAGAATTGTGGATGCCCAAATGGACCGCAAAAACCCCCAGTGCCATAAAAACTTTATATGATTTAATCAAGGATTTAATTACTTTCCTTTGCGGCTAATTATGCAAGTTTGGAGCTAACACATTGAAAAAAATCAAAATCAAAAGAAAAGAGCGTATGTGTCTTCTTCCAAATGTCCTTAGAGGATCTCATGGAAGTAAAATAACGGATACTGGCGAAGTTCTAAATGCTACTCATTGTTCTTACAAACGCTTTTATTTTCATTAACGTAATTTTATTTGTTCAATCTGTTTCCTTGATTTTTCTTTTTGGTTAAAATCCACGTCCCTTATTATATTTGCCTTTATTCGCCTCTTTTAATTTTTCATTTTGATACTATTACACAATTTCCTTTTATTTGGTCGTTTTGGCAGGGATTTTATTTCACTTCCAGATATTCAAAAGTTCAACTTTTTTCTTGTTCTCCCATTTTGGAATTTTCATGAAATGTTTAACGTATTTTTGATCTTTCAACGCTCACATTTTCATCTATTTCACTATGTTCACCTTCATCAATTTCTTCTTTACTCCTGGTGCGTCGTAGGTGCTCCAATCTTGGATTTTTTCCTCAATGTCGCACTTTCTTCTTCTTTGTTA